AACATAGAGAGTAGTGTGCAAAGAAACACTTCAGATTCAATACTTGTATGGGAAGAAGAGGAATCAAGACTAAGTAGAGAGTTGTGATGTGATGCAACCACAAAAAGGCCTCCACCCAACAAAGAGCCCAGAAGCTGCAGTGGGTCCAAGTTAAGTGAGGGCATTAGGCCTTTATAGCCCCACATCATCCAGGCACTGGCTGCAGGCTGGGTTGTAATCCTGGGTGAGGCCACTCTCGTAGGCTGAAGAAGGCCGATTGCTTTACTCTGGGGAGATCCCATTTGTGCAGTGCAGCATCCACACTTGAGAAGCTTCAATTAATTTCTTCCTATAAGTTTAAGAAGCAGTTCCTCTAAGATCTGGGGCCCTTCTTGGGGAGAAGTTATGAAGGGAAGATTAGAGGAATGACCTACATCTTCTACCATTGCAGGTGGTCTTGAAGCCATAATTGATACCTAGTGTCTCCTTCTTCTCTTCCCCATTTCAGATTCCCCTTATCCTTCATTAGCCCTCTGCTAGTCTGATGGCTTACTTGGTGAGGTGAGGGTCTGAGCCTCTGATTACAATGTACTTCTCAGTCCATGGCTACTGTACTTGTCTTTTACCCTCAAAACTAAATAAGAGTGTAGCTTGTGCCCGGTGGCCCTGGGTAGAACACAGGCAGTGGCTGACCTTGGCCTATGTCTCCCAGGAGGCCCTAGAGCCAACACACCCAGTGAACAGCTTCAGACCACATCAAAGCAACATCATCCAACCACCTCCACAAGTGACACACTCAAGGGGTTGGCTCAGTGGGTACCAGAGCCCTGCTGAAGTAAGTCTTGCTCTGGGTAGTGGGCCCCTGCACAGCTGATCTTCCAAGGTGGTCAGAGGTTGGTGGTCAGTGGTCACAGCCAGTCCTTGCAGCTGATCAGCCTGAGTAAATCCCTCCCACTGACATGCCAACAGCAATCAAGACTCAATTACAACTGAAGTAGTGTACAGCCCATATGGGGAGGGGTTGTGCACCTCAATTGCCCAGCTGGGATGATCAGGGAGGCTGTGCCACTTGTCTCTACAGAACACCTACTTCAATAAGCCACCCTACCAAGCCTAGGAGATGTAGCAGCTCTACCTAATATATAGAAACAAACACAGGGAGGCAGCCAAAATGAGGAGACAAAGAAACATGTTCCAAATAAAAGAACAGAACAAAACTCCAGAAAAAGAACTAAACAAAATGGAGGTAAGCAATCAGTCAGATGCAGAGTTCAAAACACTGCTTATAAAGATGCTCAATAAACTCAGAGGAAGAATAGATCAACTCAGTGAAAAATTCTCATTTTGACTGCCTCCCTCTCCCTGTGTTTATTTTTATGTATTAAGCAGAGCTGCTACGTCTCTCAGACTTGGTAGAGTGGCCTTATGTAGTAGGTGTTCTGTAGAGCCTAATGGTATAGCCTCCCCAGTCACCTGAGCCAGGCAATCCAGGTGTGCCCCTCTGTGGGCTGTGTACACCCCCCTGTTGTAGTTGAGCCTTGATTGCTGTTGGGACCTCAGTGGGACGGATTTACCCCCAGACCCATAGGCCTTGATGGCTGGCTGCGACTACCACAGGGAATCAGCTGTGTAGGGGACAACCCCTTGGAGCAGGACTTATTTCCGCAGGGCTCTGGTGCCCGCTGAGTCCACTCGTCGAGTGTTTGCTTGTGGAAGTGGTTGAGTAGTGCTTTGACATGATCTGAAGCTATCCACTTGGTGCGCTGGCTCTGGGGACTCCTGGGAGATGCAAGCCAAGGTCAGCCACTGTTCCTTATCCAGGGCCACCTGTTATGAGCTACACAGCAATTTGAAGATGACTGCTACTTGTTCTGGGCTTGGAGGTGCCCAGGAGAGGCCAAGCTCTGCCATGAATGCTGGGCCTGGGGCCACTTACTGAGAAGTATAGGGCATGGTGAAGCCAGCTGCTCCTTGTTTCAGATATTTTAGGAAACTCGGAAGCATGAGGCTAGAGAGGCCATCTGCATGAAAAAGCCACTAGAAACAGTTTGGGTGGCTCAAAAGTTGGGTGGGATGAGGCCTCAGGGAATCGCCAGGGCAGGGAGCACTGTGTGAGCCCCGCTGATGGAGACAGATATGGCACCCTTCATCGGGACATGTGGGGGGACAGCTGTGCAAAGGAACAGTGGCCTCTGCCAGCACTTCTGCCTGAGAGAAAGCTGCCCCTCCAGCTCCCACCCTAATTCCAATAATTCAGTTCCTCCCCATATGTCCCTGGTGCCTTTCAAGCTGCTGTCCCAGCACTGGAGCTAAGAGAGTGAGTCCAAGTAAGTCCGTGGGCCCTTTAAGAGGAAAGCCTGGGTCTCCAGAAATCCTCCATCTCACTCAGCCACAATCCCTGTTGGTCTTTACAGCCAGAATTTATGGGGACTTCTTTTCCTGGCACTGGAACCCTGGGCTGGGGGTCTGGTGTAGGGCTGGGACCCCTCACTCCTCAGCAAGAACCTCCACAGCCAAGGTATCCCTTCCAAGTTTTATCACCACGGGTGTGGGACCAGACTGTTCTGTGTCTCCGCCCCTCCTACCTGTCTGGATGTGGTTTCTTTAATTCCCTAGTTGGAGGACTTCCATTCAGCTAGCTTTCAGGTGGTTCTGAATGATGGTTTTTCTGTAGTTTAGTTGTAAATTTGATGTGGTTGTGGGAGGATGTGAATACCATGTTTATCTATACTGCCATTTTGATGGGAACCTCTAAAAGTTTATTTTTAAAGGCCCCAAAAAGCAAGTTGCAAAAAGATATCATTTTCATTATATATCTATATAGTCAACTCATTTTTATAAAAGCCAGTATCTTTGTGTGTATGTTCACTGTGTACCCAAGCACATACACATAACTGATGTATACTTATAGACTGTGCTGCACCACAGCCACTAGTCACAGGGGGCAATTTAAATGTAATTAATTAAAGCCAAACAAATTAAAAATAAGTAACATTTTCTCAGTCATACTTGTCACATTTCAAGTGCTCAATAGCTAAAGTGAGAGGTTACCATTTTAGACAGAACAGATACAGAACATTATCATCATTGCAGAAATTCTACTGGACAGCACAGATGTGTGTGTATGTATCACTGCATTGAAAAGGAACTTAGAAATATACACCAAATAAGTGGTTATCTCTAGAGAAAGGGGTTCGCTTTTAAAAAAATGTTTTATTGATTTTTTAGAGAGAGAGGAAGGGAGAGAGAAACATTGATGTGAGAGAAAAACATCGATTGGCTGCCTCCTGAATGCCCCTCACTGGGGATTGAGTCTGAAACCCAGGCATGTGCCCTGACTGGGAATCGAACTGTGACCTCTCAGTCCATGGGACGACACTCAATCCACTAAGCCATACTGGCAGGGCAAAAGGGGTTCACTTTTTATTCTATATCCTTCTGTATTCTATTTTTATGAGCATATATATATATTTTTATTATTTTTGTAGTTTGGAATGTTTTTCACTTTAGCTTAAAACTATTTTAGTCTTAGTCAGTGTGGCTCAGTTGGTTGGAGCATCATCCAATACACCAAAAGGTGGTGGGTTCTATTCCTGGTCAGGGCATGTACCCAAGTGGCAGGTTTCATCCCTAGTCCAGGCCTGTGTAGGAGGCAATCAATCAATGTTTTTTTTCTCACATTGATCTCTCTCTCCCTTTCTTCTTATCAATACAAAATAAAAAGTATATATATGTTTTTTATCCTCACCTGAGGATATTTTTCCATTTATCTTCAGATAGAGTGCGAGGGAGAGGGGGAGAGAAAAAAAACATCGACATGAGAGACACATTGACTGGGTGCCTCCCACTGGACCCTGACCAGGGCCAGAACAAACTGCAACCCAGGCATGTGCCTGTGGCCAGACTCGAACCCGTGACTCATTGGTCCGCAGGTCAAGGCTCTAACCCTGAGCCAAACCAGCCAGGGCAAAAGTATATATATATATTTTTAAATGGTGGACAAGATGTTGTCTAAGTGAGTTATTTTCCTTAGTATTTCATCATTTTTCTATTGGTCTAATAGAGGCAATATTTTATTTTAGCACAAATTAGCCCTAAAAGGCTTCTCAAAAACTTGGGCATTTGATAATCAAGTAATTATTATAATACTAACATGAGTCTTTTCCTAAATTGTATCTTGACTTAAAAAAAAATGAATAAAGCAAGTAAACATAGAAAAATAACTTATTCCTGCCTCAAGTTTTAAAATAGTTGTACCCAATTTCAATGAAATTGATCTTGTTATATTATCTTCCCTATCATTCTCAAAACTCTCCTGAACACCCCCAAACATTTATTTTTCAGTGGATGGGCATTTTTTTAGATAGGCATGTATGTATGTATGAATGGGCTTATTTGTATATATATTTAAGTGCTAGGAGAATTACCTTGTTAAACATGCTCTTTGGTGGATATTAACCAATCATCAAATAAAAATACACAACAGCCCCAAAGGTGGAAAAAAAAAATTAATTTATTTCCAAGAAAACAACAGCATCAAAAACAAAGATGGATTCAGTAGTTTTGGGGCACCTCCATGGGAAGGAGAAACCCACTAGCCCAACACTACACTCTTCCAAAATTAAAGTATTAAAGACTCAGGAAAGATGACCAGCAATGAAATGTAAACATCTATTCCAAAAGATTTTCATTCTGAACGGGAAAGATCCAGTGTAAAACATTCTTCTTCTCAGGTGGTTCATTTAACTAGGTTGAAAAATGACTCCACCATTAGCTCTTGGCGTGATCCTGACCCCTCAGCCTTTTACCATCCAATACACTTCCATATATTTTTTTTTATCCTCATCCAAGGACATTTTTCCATTTTTATTCAGATAGAGTGGGAGGGAGGGAGAGAGAGGAAGGGAGAGAGAGAGGGAAAGAGAAACATCGACGTGAAAGGGACACATCGAGTGGCTGCCTCCCACACGACCCAACCAGGGCCGGGGATGAACTGCAACCGAGGATGAACTGCAACTGAGGTACGTGCCCTTGACCGGAATCAAAGCCGCGACTCACTGATTCCAGGGCCGACGCTCTAACCACTGAGCAAACTGGCCAGGGCCACTTCCATCTTTTTAAGCAGCAGGAACAAAGAAGGCTTTATTTCAGAGTTACTCCCTTTAAATATGATTAACATTCAGTAGGCACAATAACAGAAAAAAGGAAAAAAATGTGTTAATTAAATGCATCATTAGTCGTTGCCACTGTTTTTCATCAGAATAAATAACTATTAAGGAACTCAGTGGATCAGAGGAATACAAAAGTAGACTTCACATTTTTCTGAGGTGGCAGGACTTTTCCTCAATATTAACACTGAGACCATTCTCAAAACCGCCCTTCTCTGGTATACTGAATATGGCTATTCTTCACCTTCTCTAATATTCCACCTCAGGAAATGAACTAAGACCAGTCGGGGAATCCCAGTGTCAGACAGAGACCTTGTTTTCTAATGTTTAGTAACAACCTCTCTAAGCCTGACTTTCCTCATCTGCAAAACGGGGATGAGGCCCTCACAAGGGTGTTGTGAAGTCTGAATGCCTTGAACACAGGCTTTTCAGCTTCCATCTCCTTCCCTCCTCTCTTTTGATCTCTGATTTAAACCTCAACTTGTAATTACTGAGATCCATGGCCCGATATCACAATCCACAATCCTCCATGTGAATGCCTTCGAATACAACCATTATCTAGGGTTCCCTAGAGCAGCCTTCCAACGTCAACATTATTACCAAGATTTTTAGAGTGAAAAGCTTTGTCTCAGCATGTGTTTAGTGTGGAACAGACACGCAAGAAATATTTACGACTGCATGCTGAATGAACTGGATGAGGGAATGGACACAGGGGTCAACGGCAGAGATGCTCACCCACAACTGGAAGCTCTTAAAAATCTAGGCATTCTTATCAGCACCAGGCATTGGCAAGCCACTCAGAGAACACTAGGGAACTGCTGAAGCCTCCCAGGGGAGCACTGGACTCCATTTTGCAAGTAAGATAACTTTGGTGGGGGTGGGGGTGGAGGGTGGTGGCAGAAGAGGGAAGTGATTCATTCTGAGGCGTGAGATGAGACGAGATCCATGCAATACCACCTGTCTTCTAGGAGTATCTTCATGCTGGGAAAACCTTCCAGCATTCTCAGTGAACAATGATGCAGGGGGGAGCAGAGCCCATGCTGACGCACGGAGCAGCGGGCAGTGGCTGCTTAAAGCACATCCCGCCTCCTGCTGACGACTTTATAGTCCGCACAGAACTCCAGGCAAGTACACTGAAAATGCTAGTGTTAAAACTCAGCAACAGGATCTAGTTCTCATTTCTAGTAGCTCAAGTTTTAAAGATTAGTGAGTTACCCAGAGAGCCGCTTATACGTCTATGTGCAGCTAAGCAAGGAAGGGTGGTGTCCATTAATTTATGGCTATAGGTCTGTGACCAAAGATTCCTTCTTCAAAGAAACCCGGTTCTTATTTTCCTAAAATATTACCTACAGTTCTCCTTTTGATTAGAACATTTATATATGGTGAGTATCTGATGCAAAGGTGTGATGGCATTGACAGGTCATTGACGGGAACAACAGTCTGGCACAGAGGTGAGCGTCAGGAAACAGCCTCGGAGGATCCTGTTAGTGTGGTTCCCAGAGCCCAGTGGGCGGCCAGGTCCTGAAGCCACGGCCTCAGTCCTGAAACTGTTACCAAGGCAAAGTCCCCTCACAAAGGCTCTGTTTTCCAATGGTGACTTCCCTTCAATCATGAATTGCAGTTGATCAAAAATACCAGCTGGGTTGTATCGCGGTTTCACTCTGATTTAGGGTTCTTTCTCGAAGTCTCAGTTCTAGGCATTCCACAGTAAGGGGGTACGTAGTAAGCTCAAACTTGTTAGCAAAAAGGCTGGGTGAATTAATCAACCACTTTAAGTCTCCGTTTCCATAGATACAGATGCCCCGTACATAGTGGCCTGCAAAGGAGAGAACAAAAAACTGTCAAAACATGCTTGCTTTCAGATGCCAGGGGTAGTGCGCTTGCACGGCGGTGGCTACCGCCTGACTACTGAGCAGCTAACGTTGGGCCAAGCGCTATGGGATTCTAGTGAGACATGACTGTGTAGGGCCAGCCCACCAAGAAGCTCAACTCTTTATACTATAAAGTTTATAGGAAGACAAAGGGTACAAATACGCATGTGAAGAAAACGAGAGCTGAACAACACAAAGCAATACACACTAGGCAATTCATGTATTATCACATTAAAAGTCATGGATGAGCCCTGGCCGGTTTGGCTGAGCAGTTGGAGCATCGGCCCGCAGAGAGACCCGGGTTCGGTTCCCACTAAGGGCATGTACCTGGTTGCAGTTTGTCCCCGGCCCTGGTTGGAGTCGTGTGGGTGGCAGCCACTCGATGTGTCTCTCTCACGTTAACGTTTCTCTCTCTCTCTTCCTCCCGCTCTCCCTCCAGCTCTATCTGAAGATAAATGCAAAAATGTCCTCAGGTGAGGATAAAAAAAAAAGTTATGGATGAGGAGTTCTAGAAGTGTGCAGATGTCTTTCTGGGTTGCACTGGTCAGGCCTCTTCCCTGAGCTCTGGCCTGGTCTCTGTAAGTGCCTACTTTATATCTTCACTTAGATGAGTAATGAACCTAACCAATATAACAAGTCAGGACTGAACCCCGTAATCCTGTGCAAGTCTTCGCCATCAAAATCCACAGTAATTCTATTTTTTGGTGCTTTCTGCTCTTCTTCCCTCTCACACCCCACATCCAACCTGTCAGCAATTCTGTCAGCTCAACCTTCAAAACATTAATAGGATTTGCCCCAGCTGAGTGGCTCAGTTGGCTGGAGCATCCTCCTGTACACCAAAGGTTGTGGGTTCAAGTCCCAGTCAGGGCACATACCTAGGTTGCAGGTTTGATCCCCGGTCGGGGCACCTATGGGAGGCAACAGGTCTGATGTTTCTCTCTCTCTCTGTTTCTCAGAATAGTAAAATAAAAACATATCATCAGGCTAGGATTTAAATATATATATAAATAGAATCTGACTACTTTTCACCACCTCCACTACACCATCCTGGCCAAAGTTGCTCCATCTTCCTGTCGAGTTGTTGCAATAATAGCTGGTTTCCACTGCCTCCACCTCTGCCTGTGGGTGAGAGTCCCAGCACTGTGGCCACAATGATTGTTTTAAATGTAAGCAGACCATGTGTCCTCTGCTCAAATGGCTTCTCATATATGTGGAATAAAAGCCAAAATCCTGCTCGGCTGGTGTGGCTCAGTGGTTGAGTGTTGACCACACACTAAGAGGTCGCCAGTTCGATTCCCGGTCAGGGCACAAGCCCAGGTTGTGGGACCGATCCCAGTGGGGGGCATGCAGGAGGCGGCCAATCGATGTTCTCTCTCATCGACATTTCTCTATCTCCCTCTCCCTTCCTCTCTCTCTCTAAAATCAATAAAAATAAAACAAACAAACAAACAAAAAAGCCAAAATCCTAGCAGTCCCCGTCAACACTTCTCAGAATCTAGCTGCTTATAACCTGGACTTGCCTCCCACCACTGGGTCAACTACTTTATAACCTTTAATAACCTTTGCTCATTCATTCCGGACACACTGGCCTCCTTCCTGGCCCAAGCACACCAGGCACGTTCTACTTGAGAACCGCTGTTCGCGCTTCCTGCCCAGTACCGCTCCCTTCGCCAGGCATCCTGGGGGCTCCCTCGCCTCCCTCCCGCACCCCGGGTCTGCCTCAAGGCCGTCTTCAAGGGAGGCCCTCTCTGACCTCCTTCCCTCCTTCCCCGGCTCATTTATGTTTCTGCACTTATCACCAACTGACACATATATATCTCAGTGCCACGAAGGAAAATAATATTTTGTTTATTTTCTTTCCTAGCAGAGAACTGTTTATTGTCTTTCTCCCCGGATTAGACGATAAGCTCCAGCGCCGGGGTTTGAGACCAGACAGTTCACGTCTGCGTCCCTTCATCTGGAACAGTGCCTGCAAACATAAGGCGGGAAAGTAATCATGTTTTAATAAAAGGACGGAGAAGGAGCAGTGGCGAGTGAGTGGATGGGTGGAATTAGCATTAGGAGGATGGACGGTGGTCTCATTTGGGGGAAATGCCTCTAAAAAACTGTAGAGATGGGAGTTTTCGGCTAGAATAGGGAATTTGTTGGGGGAAGGGTTAGAAACAGAATGGTAGGGAGTTGGAATTCTTTTTCAGAGGTTGCTTGGCATATAATAGAACTACTGTGGATGACTGACTTAAAACAGATTGAAGATGGGTCTTTTTTTATCTCATAATTATGGAGAGTCTTTGAAGCTTTTTGAATAGAAGAATACAACGATGAAATTCATTTTAGCAAGATTAATTTTGCAGAACTGTGCAGGGTACATTAGAAATCAATCAAGAGAATACAGTAATAACTTAATGTAAACCAGAAAGCTCATTCAAAGTTAATGGTGTCCATGAGTGGGAAAGAAAGGATAATAGAGACGGAATACAGGACGGACAGGTCTTGATGATGAACTGAACCTGGCAGGGAGGAAGTACAATAGAGAGGAAATCGTCGGGGAAAGAAGCCAGAGCTGCGGGAAGTTAAAGAGTAACTGGGCGAGAAGCTGAAGAGTGACTGGGTGGGAAGTTGAAGAGTGACTGGGTGGGAAGTTGAAGAGTGACTGGGTGGGAAGTTGAAGAGTAACTGGGCGAGAAGCTGAAGAGTGACTGGGTGGGGAGGAGCACGGAACGAAAGGCAGCCCAGGCTGGAGAACATGGGAGTGAACAGGACAGGATACTTCAGTGTGTGTCAAGCAGAGAGGGCACAGACAATGGGTCTTCAGGATGGAGGCAGTAAATGCAAACTTGCAGAGAGAAGGAAAAGAATCGTCAGAGAGGAAGACACTGAGAATGCAAGAGAGCAAGGGGACAGTTTAGGGGGGACCCACACAGCAGCGAGACCACAGATGGTGACCTTGGTGGTGAGGGTGGGGGGTAACTTTTCGTCTTTAAACAGAAGGAACATGAGAGAATAAGTCCAAAATATTCTAAGATGGAGGAAAGGGATGACCTGGGAAAGGGAGCGATGAGGGGATTTTGATTAATGTCTTGAAAGTTCTTCCTAGAGTTGAAATTTTCATTTTTTGAGAATGGAAAGGCTGTTTTAGCATAAGACTGAGAGCGTAGAGGTGAGCAGGAAAGCTAAGACGGTGCATGCTGCGAAGGGCACCAGACATATGATGGGGTAAAGGGAAGAATCCATAGGCAGCTGGGAGCATCTAGCTGACATTAGCGGGCCAGTCCCTTAACCTTCTCCAGCAGCGTTCTGTTCAGGGGAACAGGAGTGGCAGGAAGCAGGTGCTGGTGAGGATTAAGTGCAGGAATCAGCCTTGCAGGGTCCCATGGCGAGGGAACCTCAAATTAGTGAAACAGCATGAGAGGTGGACGGAGCACACAGGCGACAAGGAGTCCTCAGAAGGAAACTGGTAAAAGAAGCAGGAAAAGCTGAACCTCTGGAAATCCCAATTTTAGAAAAGCAAACACATTTAAAACACCACCATCGCATTTTAGGTGTGGGGATATAGCAATGAATAATTTGGTCAAAAATCCTAGCTCTCTTAGGGCTTCTATTCTGTTCTGGGGAGAAAGTAAATATATGTAGTATGAAGATTGGTGAAGGGAATTAGGAGTGTGACAAAGAGACTGTAATCAGAGATGGGAGCTCTAAGTTCAAGACCACGGGGCTGGGGTGCGGCTTTGTGACTCTGAGTGCTGAGGGCTGGTAAAGCAGGTGCACCCCCACGGGCTCGGAACAAATCCGATTACTCACAGCCAAAGGGGAAGGTCCAGATTGTATCACTGACTTGCTGATTGGGCATGGGTTGTGTTGGATTATGCCTTTTTATTTTTCCTCTCTTGTGGTTTGGGGGACAAATATATATATTTTTATTTTTTTTAATTGATTTTAGAGAGAGGACGGGAGAGAGAGAGACATCAATGTGAGGGAGAAACATTGGTTGCCTCCCACACACACCCCACCTGAGGACTGAACCCACAACCTGGGTATGTGCCCTGACTGGGAATTGTAACTGCCACCTTCTGGTGTACAGGACAACGTTCCAACCAACTGAGCCATAGTGGCCAGGGCTAGGAAACAAATAATTAAAAAAAATTTTTTTATCTTCACCAGAGGATATTTTTTTCCATTTTATCTTCAGATAGAGTGGGAGGGTGGGAGAGAGAGAGAAACATTGATGTGAGAGAGACACACTGACCAGCTGCCTCCTGCATGACCCCGACCAGGACCAGGGACCAACCGCAACCGAGGTACATGACCTAGACCGGAATCGAACCCACGACTCATTGGTCTGCGGGCCGACACTCTAACCACTGAGCCAAACTGGCCAGGGCAAGGACAAATAATTTTTATGCTCTGAACCTGAAAAATCTTTCAGATATTCGTTGGCATAACAGGTACCAAGAGAAGAAAAATGAGACATTTGACTGAGGGGCCTGGGCTACCCAAGCTTTGTACCCAGTGGCTTCCTGGCTAAAGGCTACTCTCAAGGGCCCCACCTGTCACAGGATCAGTAAAGGTTCCTACAAAAAAGCAAATCTGCCTAGCCTATACCTTCTCTACTGGGACAGGGCCTGGACAGAGGTGACGACAAGGAGACTGAGGCAAGGCTGCACTTGGAGGTTGGGGTGGCTACTGCACAGTGGGGGGTGGAGGGGCTAGAGCTGCAAAGGAATGATGTCCCATGGGTCCCTGTTGAAGCCCTCAAGTGCTGCAGCTGGAGAGGAGGTGGAGAAGCAGGTCGGAGGATGACGCAGTGGTCCTAGAGGGAGGATGGCGGGGGTTATGGAAGGATGTGGAGAAGACAACGTCGCCCAAATAGTGGGACCCTGACTGATGGTGACGGTCCATTTTCTAAAGAAGACTCAGGGGCTCTCAGAGCAAAGCAACCTCTTCCCCATTCCCCCCCTTCCAGTGGAAGGGCAGGCCATGGCGAGAATGCAGGCCGGCGGCACGAGCTGTCTCCTGAGAAAATGTGGGCCCATTAAGGTCAAGATACGAAGTGCTAAAGAATAGATTGAGCCCTGGCCGGTTTGGCTCAGCAGTTAGAGCGTTGGCCTGCGGTCCAGAGAGACCTGGGTTTGGTTCGTGCTAAGGGCATGTACCCCGGTTGCAGTTTGTCCCCATCCCTGGTTGGTCATGCAGGTGGCAGCCACTCTATGTGTCCCTTTCGCATCGATGTTTCTCTCTCTCTCTTCCTCTCCCTCCCATTCTATCTGAACAAAAAACAAAAAAATGTCCTCAGGTGAGGATATAAAAGAAAAGAATAGATTTAAATCTGTACATTAATGTAAGGATATTGCCATCCACAGTGGGAGGGGACTCAAGAGAAAGACATGAGAAGGAGGCTGAGTGTAATGGAGTAGAAAAGCATCAGCCTACAATTAGCTGTAGATAAAATGGACCATGCCCTGGCTGGTTTGGCTCAGCGATAAAATGGACCAATAAGCGAAGCCGACTGAACAGAGTGGAGGAGGCAGAGCCTCGTTATCTGAGGGATAAAGGTCAGACTTCCACATCGCTCATTCATTCATTCACTTACTCACTGGATAAATATTAACTGCATGCTATTATGGGCTGCATTGTGTACCCCCCAAATTCATATGTTGAAGTCCTAACCCCCAACACCTCAGACTGTAACTATATTTAAAAAGGTAATTAGCCCTGGCCAGTTTTCTCAGTGGTTAGAGCGTCGGCCTGCAGTCCAGAGAGACTCAGGTTCAGTTCCCACTAAGGGCACGTACCTCAGTTGCAGTTTGTCCCCAGCCCTGATTGGGTCATGCGGGTGGCAGCCACTCGATGTGTCCCTTTCACGTCAATGTTTCTCTCTCTCTCCTCCCCTCCCACTTTATCTGAACAAAATATCAAAAAATGTCCTCGGGTGAGGATAAAAAAAAAAAGTAATTAAGTTAAAATGAGGTCATAGGAGTAGGCCCCAATCCAGTGTAACTGGTGTCCTTATGAGAAGATTTTAGGACTCAGATACACAGAGGGAAGACCATGTGAGGACACGGGGAAGACAGTCATCTGTCTGTCTAGGAGAGAGGCCTCCAAAGAAACCAAACGTGGTGACACCTTGATCTTGGACTTGTAGCTTCCAGGACAGTGAGGAAACAAATTCCCCGTGTAAGCCACCCAGTTAGTGGGTACGCGTAAAATGACTGCTACGTTGGCTCCAGCAAACACACACACATGCCCACTATGTACCAGGCAGTAGTCTGGATGGAAGGGAAATAGGACTGACAAAACCTTTCTTCGTAAGGTTCTGTAGAAATGAAACTACTTAGGATTTCAAGTTCTTGTCCGCTGGAAGAGAAACCTCCCCTTCGTGTCCCCTGCCGCCACGCCAGAGCTGCCCCAAACCTCCAAACTGGAAGCCTGTCTGTGGAGGTGACAGAGGCTGACACGAGGGATGGGCGTCCAGCTTGCTTGTGGCAGCGCATGACATCACTGCTCACCCTGGCCACCTTCCTAACAGCTGCACTCCCAAAAGGAACAGAAAGAGGAACAAGCAATAATAAGAAAGCAGAAACTAGCAAGAAGAAAGTACCATTATAATTTGAACCTACTTGGAGAATGTCTTTTTCTTTTTTATGTTTTTTATTTTATTAGAGAGAGAGAGATAGAAACATTGATGTGAGAGAGAAACATTGATCAGCTGCCTCCTGCACGCACCCTTCTGGGAATTGAGACTGCAACCCAGGCATGTGCCCCGACTGGGAATGTAGCCGGGACCTCTCAGCCCAGGGAGGACGCTAAATCCACCGAGCTGGAGAATGTCTTGAAACGCTTAAATGTACTTTCAGGGACTGTGTCTAAAAGCCTCTAGCTAATCTTTGAAGAACTCACAGATTGGTTTAAATAAACCAGCGGTTCTCTCCATGAGACCCTGTATTCCACAACTACCTTCATGCCAACACCAACAAGCAGTATGGCCTCAAAGTGTGAAATGAACGCCTCACCATGGCAGCCTCCGTGTTTGTCTTCCATGTCGATCCACTTTATAGCTCTGAGGTTACCAGTCCAGGATGCATTTGGCATGGAGCCAGGGACACCTGCAATGTCGATAAAGAAGAAAAGCATAAATGAGAACCGAGAGAGAAGGGTGTCCGTTCCATCAATTAACCCTCCAAGTCATTTTGTTGCAGTGTATTATCTCTCACATCAGATTTTTCATCATTGGCTTATGGTGTGAAGAGTTGGTGGTTACGCGCCTGGCCTTGCCTTCAGTAAAATAGTCTAGTGATTTTGCCATAGTATGTGATCACATAGTATGTGACCAAGCCTGAAAAATAGAGCTTAAGAAATACTGTCGTGTAAAACCATGATGCAAAAGAGAAATTTGGGGGGTTTTGGTCTCTCAACGACCTTTAATTAAATTTACTTGCCATTCTAATGTTACAATTTTTTTTTTTTTAAGGATTTCCACAAATCTCAAAGTGAAAGCCCGGCAAACAGGCTACTCTAGGTTCTTCTTGCTAATAAGTGAGAACAATTCCAGGGCTGCTCTTACAGGAACTGAAGTTGCAGTTGTAGGCACACAGAAGGAAGACGGCGTGTTCGCCACATACGGAACTCATAAACAAACGCTTCAACACACTGTACTTATTTGTTAAAGTACTTCTTGAGCATTTGATACTGATAAGCACCGTGCTAGGAACTGGGGACAGAGAGAAACCAGATGGGATTCCTGGTCACCCAATGAAGACAATGGGTTATCTGCCCCAGGCAGTAATAGGTTTTCGTTCTGAGTTTTCCTAGAGGATTGGTGCACAGTGATCCCCTCTCCTCTCTCTCTTCCAGTTGTTCTTGGACCAAATGCTGTTGCTGATCTATTATCTAATTAGTACATTATCTTTTTATTTTTAAAATTTTTTCCTTTTATTGATTTTAGAGAAGGAGGAAGTGAGAGGGAGAGAGAAACATTGATGAGAGAGAACATCGACTGGCCGCCTCCTGCATGCCCCTCACTGGGGATCGGGCCCACAACCTGGGGTCTCTGGCAGAAACAAGGGCCCCGGAAGAGTCCTGTTGAGTTTGGTCCCAGCTGTGGAAGGGAGCTGAAAGTCATCACTCCCTTATTGAGAAGCGGTGGGCAGTGGTGTACGCAGCCCTGTTAGCCAGTGAGAGTATCACTGGTCCTTGTCCTGTCACAGTGCCAACCACCTACCCAGTAGAGGGGTGGCTTTGGTCTTGAGCTACCCGACCATGCACAGGGGTAGTCCAAACCCCCACTTTAACAAAGTGGGGAGCTTACTTGGAACAGAGGGCCCAGTTCTCTACGACGCAGAATAATCTACCACATACCAGGGCATAAGCCCTTGCAGGCCTCGATGGTTCTGTGTCGCACCCTGTACTGCTGTTGTGGGTCAAGTCCCGAAACCCCAGCCTCTAGGGCAGTGGTTCTCAACCTTCCTGATGCCGCGACCCTTTAATACAGTTCCTCATGTTATGGTGACCCCCAACCATAAGACTATTTTTGTTGCTACTTCATAACTGTAATTTTGCTACTGTTATGTCTTAGGCAACCCCTGTGAAAGGGTCATTTGACCCCCAAAAGTGTCGCGACCCACAGGTTGAGGACCGCTGCTCCAGGGGGTGAAATGTGAGGACCCAGGAACTTGGCCTGTTGCTGACAGAGGCTGTGGTTCGGGACATGACCCTGGAACTGGCTGTGCAGGCACAGACCATGTTTTCTTATGTAACAGAACCCTCACACAAGCATGCCACAGCAAGGCCTAGGCCGCATGTGCCACGCACCGCCCGTCTGGACCATCCCGCTGCACGAGTCTATAAAAGCCGTCAGAAATAGTGAATAAAGCTGCTGCCGCCGCTGTCTCTACCCTGGTATCTCACCGCGAAACTGCCCCAGCAACCCTGGTCGATGACAATCACAAAGAGTAGTTATACCCCAAGGTTTCCATTACTGGAAAAGGAGTAGATGACAATCAATGTAAATGCAACTCGAGGAAGAATATTTCACTTCATGAGAGCCGCAGCCATTTCCCCCAGTGAGACATTCAATCTGAACATCACTTCGATGTAATAGCACCATGCAAACGATACCTGTATTCATGTTGCAATAATCCTTTCTTATAAGACCTGAAATATTAACGACATACTGCAGTAGGCGGAATAATGGTCTCCCTCCCACAAACATACTCAGAGACGTCCGTAGTCTAATCCCTGGAGTCTGAGGACATGTTATGTTTTACATGGCAAAGGGGAATGCTAATCAGTTGACCTTAACCTGGGAAAATGGGAGAGTAGCCTGGATTACCCAGGTGGCCAATGTAATCACAAGGGTCTTTTAACAATGTGAGAGAAGGCAGAGAGTTGATGGACCCCGTGTGATGTGAGGACTGTGCTTCTTTGCCCTTTGAAGACGGAGGAAGGGGCCAAGGAACGCAGGTGGACTCCAAAGCTGGACAAGGCGAGGAAACGGATCCTGCCCAGACCCCACAGTGAGAAACAGCCCGGTCAACGCCTTGCTTTTAGCCTGATGAGACCCGTGTCAGACTCGTGACCTACAGAACTGTAAGACAATACATTTATGTTCATTAAGCTGCTAAATTTGTGGAAAATTGTTAATGGTAGCAAACAGAAAACTAAATACATACTAATGAGAAAAAGGTGCCCAAGATGATGAATATTTTTTAATAAGGAAAAACATGAGACACAACCAATACTTTAAAGAAGTTTAATTGGATAGGCACACAAAAAATTTCCTCCTTAAGAACATTAACAAAAATGTGCATTTTCAGAAGAATAAAATCTCTGTTCTTTTGCCCTGATGTCACATAATAATTATATGATGGTCTAAATCGAGAATTGTACCAAGGTTTCCCAACTAAAATTAAATTTGGCACAGAGTTCCTGTAAATAGCATGAGTCTCTCCCCTAAGGACTCTGTACAGGTCAAGATTCTTCTCTTCTTGCTTTGCTTATACATACTGAATACTTGAGAATAACGATATTTATCAAGCGATAGTTCTTTCTACTGCTTTGATTTTCTTTCAGTCCTTTAAAATTCATTTAAGTGCTTGCTTTCCCAAAGTAGCTTCTTTATTTTGTTCTCAGCACACATTTGAAAAGAAGTTAGAATAAAACTTGCCTTGATTAAGTCGGGGTGGGGGTCTGGAAAGCAACAAGGTAATTTAGTATATTTTCTCATGTCAGCAAGATTGGATTCATGTTTCAATCAAATAGCTACAGCAGGAAAGTGTGAATGAAACATTACACTCTTTTATTTACTTATTATTCTTTTTTAAAAATAGGTTTCCATTTTTTTTTTTTTTTTGAGAGAGAGAGGAAGGGAGAAAGAAACATTGATGTGAGAGAGAAACATCAATTGGAGCCTCCTGTACGCCCCCTACTGGAGATCGAGCCCGAAACCCAAGCATGTGCCCTGACCGGGAATCAAACCAGGACCTCTCAGTACAAGGGATGATGCTCAATCCACTGAGCCACACCAGCTGGGCAACATTACACTCTTTTAAATGATTGTATGTTTGTTTTCTGTTGCTCCTCACCTGAGGATATTTGTCCATTGATTTTTAGATAGAGTGGGAAGAAGGGAGGGAGGAAGAGACAGAAAGTGAGAGAGAGAGAGGAACACTGATGTAAGAAAGATACATTGGCCCTGGCCAGTTTGGCTCAGCAGTTAGAGCGTCGGCCCTCAGACCAAAGAGTCCCAGGTTCGATTCCAGCCAAGGGCGCGTACCTCAATTGCAGTTCATACCAGCCCCGGATTATGCGGGTGGCACACACTCGATGTGTCTCTCTCACATTGATGTTTCTCTCTCCTTCCCACTCTGTCTGAAGATAAATGTAAAAATATCCTTGGATGAGGATTAAAAAAAGAGAATGACACACTGATTGATTGTGTCCTGCATGACCCCAGCCAGGGCTGGGGCTTGAACCTGCAACCCAGGTATGTGCCTTGACCAGAAATCGAACCCGAGACCCTTTGGTCCAAGGGCTGACACTCTAACTGCCGAGCCAAACTGGCCAGGGCTAAATGACCGTATGTTTAAAAGGACAAGATATTTTTCTTCCTCTCATTCTCATTAACACTGAGCAATACAAACTGACTCTTACTCAGAATCACATTCCATTATTCTAGAGATAAGATTGTGACATTTATAATTAATGACTGCTGTCTTGAAAATAAATACGTAACACCAATTGACTTCCCGCTAATAAAATTCCAAACCTCAACTTCTATACTTTCTGTTAGAGGACAAATCTCAAATCTGTATGTTTAAATATTATTCATGTTTGTTCATAAAAAAAATGACATTTTTAAAGCAGAAGCAGGGAGAGGATCAAGCACAGACAAAGTTAAATTCTACTTTGTCTCTTTTCGCAAAGAATACTGAGGCTCAGAAGTATCTGGCAGGAATGGGCATAAAGCCTTGTTTTTCAAGTGTGGTTCTGGAACAGGAACATCATCTGGGAGCTTGTCTGAAATGCAGAATCAGGCCCCACACAGACCTCCTGCCCCTGAATCAGCGTCTTCACCAGCCCCAGAGGGTCCCCGGGCACTGCCACGTCCGAGGACTCCGGGCTGCCATCAGCGCTGTGAGGGGGACACAGCTCCTTCTCCTCTCCTCGAAGTCCTCCCCTCAGCCTTCATCAAGTTTCCAGGGTAGACTCACTTATTCTCCACCAAATTCTTCTGTGATGAAGAAATCCGGCACTATATCTCTTTACATTCTTCGGTTAATGTAACAAAGTTGACCCGACTGCAGGAATATTATATGCATTTTAATAGACTTCTCAAATCACCTCCTTCCTGACAGTCGGCCCCCCTGTTGTGGGAAAAAGACTTGTTGAGCAGAGGACCATCCTCCCAGTGCCCTTAATGTCACAGCATTTGGCTCTCAGGAGATACTGGATCGATGTTAAATAAAGGAGTTTTGGCACAAAGGTTGCCCCGTCAATTCCGTCTTTAGCGCTGATGGTGAGGCCCACTTAGCTCTGGTGGATCAGACAAGCCTGGCTGCTGCCTTTGTTTCCCAATAGGCCACCATGGTTTAAGGTGAAGTAATGCTGCACTTCTCAGTATCAAAATATATTTCTTCTACCCTTTTAGCAAAGGCCAACCTGCACCAGCTTGTCCTCTGGCAGTGGCCTAGGTGGCCATCAGTCGTCTTACTCTCCACAGCTGGCCTGCCTGGTACAACTAGCACAGGCAGGAGACAAACACCCAATTCAAATACTGTGTAGGCCTCACTTGGTTGTTATTTTGAAGAGATACTAGCAGGCAAAAGATTGAATAGCCTAACTGTACCCACTGTTCAGTAAGTCATTTTTTTTTTTAAATCCTCACCCAAGGACATTTTTGCATTTATCTTCAGCTAGAGCGGGAGGGAGGGAGGGAGGGAGGAAGAAAGAGAGAGAAACATCTATGTGAGAGAGACACATCGAGTGGCTGCCACCCACACGACCCCAACTGGGGCCGGGGACAAACCGCAACCGAGGCACGTGCCCTTAGCGGGAACAGAACCCGGGACTCCCTGGTCTGCAGGCTGACGCTCTAACTACTAAGCCAAACTGGCCAGGGCTCAGTAATTTAATTTGGCTTGAGTCAAGGTACATGGAGACCCCAAAGCTACTGATCCCACCACTTATGTAATGTCCAATTGCTTCTTCTATTCCATTAAAACATCTAGTAGGCCCAACTCTGTTTCCTGTTTTTCTCCCAGATACCGACCTCTGGAGAACACCCTGATGGAACAGACGCTCGCTGTGGAACTGGGAAACAGTTCTCATCCCAGCTTTGTCATTAACCTGCTCTGTATCCTTGTGCATCATGTAATGTCACTCACTCACTTTTCAAAGGGAATAGGTAGATCAGGGTTTTTCAAACGTTCAGGCTGCAAACCACAGAAAAATAATTTTATACCATCACAGACATGAGTGCAAATAAAAGTTTTACAAAATAACTCTTAAACTTTTTACATACAGTGCACTTGCTATTTTTACATTGTTTTCTGGTCTAGTCTCATGTTAAAAACTAGTCAAAACCTACGAAAGTGATCGCTGATCCACTAATGGGATGCAACTACTATTTTAAAAATACTGGACTAGATGACTGCTCTATTGCTGTTGCTGTTGTGACTATTACTACTGACTGCCTGGCTTCTAGGAAGGTAGTTATGGGGTGTACGGGATCTAGTCTACCCTCAGTTCACAGGTACCCTAGGAAGGACTTACTTTTCATTCTTTCTGGGATGGGACAAAAAGAAGATACCAATATTATCAGAGAAAACATTTCAAATTATTAAATCCAATTCTCTCATTTGCTCTTCATAGGCTTATTTAAACAAAAGCTCAAGATAAAGTTTACAGAGTAACTAGAAATGTTTTTCTTGGGGCTCAGCCTTTATTAGTCAAATAACTGCACTTGTTGAATAAATGAAGATGATTCTTTGAAATACAAGCTTTGTTTATGTTGACCTGACTTTCTTCGTATTGTTCTCACAGTGTGGCCCTCATCTGGACAGACCTATATCTGGTAACAAATTCCAGAAATTGCTTATTACTTAGGCTCAGATATATACTTTTTAATTTATTAAATAAACAAAGAATTTTGTTCCCTAAAGTCAAAAGTCAACGCTGACGCCAGTTTACTGGAAGGGAAATGTTCTCACAGTTTAGTGGTGGTGCTGAACATTGGTACAACTGGAAAGTCGGCCGGAAAACAATGCAGGAAAGACCACCGTAGCTGCCAATTTCCTTTGGCCCTTTAAACCAAGAGTTGCAAAATAAGCTAAGAAAATAATTCTTAAAGTGTGAAAATCTGTACATCAACATGTTCATTTTGGCATTATTTATACATACTAACAGCACAGGCTTTGAAGTCGGACAGTAGGCATTCCAAATCCCTGTCTGTTGTTACTGGCTGTGTGACCTCAAACAGTTATGGAATTTCTTTGAAACATCATGTCCTAAACTTCAAAATCTCACGGGATTTTGTTAGTGTTAAATAAGATAATGTATGTGTCGTGCTTAGCACAGAGCCTGGCATACATAACTACTCCATAAATGGCCGAAAACATATTCCCTCTATTAAAATCATGGGGACATGTCACTGTAGAAGTCATTGCTTTTTCATTATAACCTAAAGCATGTTTCCCAAACTTGACATTACTGACATCTGGGCTGGATAATGTTTTGCAGGTGATTCTCTGCTGTGGGGCTGCCCATGTATTGCAGGGTGTTTCCTGCAGCATCCCTGGCCTTACCCACTAGATGCCAGTATCGGTCCCTCCCATCCCCTACCCCAACCCCAGTGTGACCATCAGAAATGTTTCCAGATATTGCCAAATGTCCCCAGGGGGGCCAAATCACCCCTGGTTGATGACATGAAATCTTACATTATTAATAAAACCATGTGCAAATATTTGCATGTGAAATGAAAAATGTTTTAAATGTATAAAACTTTCTTCAGTGTTATTGTATTGCTTTTATACTTTAAAAAGTTGTTTACATATATCTGAGTCTCACTTGCTTCACTGATTTAGTAATTGTGCTTGTGAATGTTCTAAGAATGATTCAACACAATGTAAAAACAGACAATGTTCATTGTCAATTTGCTTTCACAATAAAAAATGGAACATTAGCTAATAACTGACTAATGCAGTATTAAATAATGTATAGCCTTTTTTCCTCACTGTTAACTGGAGTCATTTTTAGAAATAAAGAGGGCTGCCCGGGTGGCTTAGTTGGTTGGAGCGTTGTCCCATACACCAAAAGGAGGCGGGTTCGATCCCCAATAGGGGCCTATCCCCAGGTTGTGGGTTTAAACCCCAGGATCAGTGTTTCCCTCTCTCCTTTCCTCTCTCTAAAATCAATAAAAAAAAGTCTCAAAAACTTAAAAATTAAAAAGATACAGCACTGTTTTCACCTACCACTTGGGATGGTCACGACGTGAAACGAGATGGTGCTTTGTTGCATGTGGAGGTTCGCTAGAGCCCTGCAGGCCTAGCGTCCTGAACATCACAGCCGTTCACGCCTCTGATAATTGCCCACAAATGGACTCTCCCTTGGTTGTAAAAGGAAAAGATGGAGTGAGGGAAGGAAGAGAAATCCAGAGTTGTGAACTCAAAGGGACTTTAGATCTTTTCATATGTTTTAGTATTTTAATCTTCTCCCCCTCTCTGCCAAGCCGTGTAAGCTAGAGCCTAGAAAATTCAAGTGAATTGCTCAGGAGTGTGGACATGCTAAATAACTGTTGGTTTTGTTTCAAGATAATTGGCTCACTTATTCAATGGTTTCTTTTCTTTCCCTAAATATTTTTTATTTTTATTGAATTTATTGGGGTGACATTGGTTAATAAAATTACATCGGTTTCGGGTGAACAGTCCTATAAAACATCATCTATATATTGTATTGTGTGTTCACCACCCCACGTCCAGTCTCCTTCCATCACCATTTATCCCCCCTGTACCCTCTTCTACCGCCCCACCTGCAGTGGTTCTCGCATGCCTCCCATGTTCTAGAGTAGATTCTGGGGCAAAGCCATGAAGGAGATGTTCTTGGAGCTTTCAGCCTAGTATATGCAGAGGGTTTGTTTGTACTGACATCTTTACCAGCAGCCTGGACACCTCTACTCAAGAGTCTTTCCTGGCCAGTCTTCTGGTGAAGAGCAGGAAAGGTTAGGGGAGCATGTGGGAAAGTGGGCAGTGCCGGTCCCAGAGCAGCTCAGATTTCATTACAGTCCTGACCTTGCTCCATTGGCCCTCTGCCTACATTTCTTTTTTGGCTGTTTATCATCCTTAGCTCTCAGACACCCCTTAAATCGTGGCAAATGTCCCTGAGGCAGTGAAGGTCTTTGGTTTCGCTGCTTCCATACTTGTAGCCTGAAAACTTTCCCTTCTTTCCTTCACTAAACCACAGAATTCTTCAAAATCCTTCACGTTCACAATTAATCCAAATCTAGCTAATTCCTTCCAGCTCTGACTACTGAAATGTTGTGTTGTACAGGAGCCCCCAACTGATTTCCAATCTTGTGGCAGTTCTTCAAGTCTTCCCTGGCTTAAATAAAACAACAACCCCCAAAACAATTATATAGCTACACAAAATAAATGTATTTTTTAAACTTCAGTCAAACACGGTGAAGCACAGACATCCATTTCTTGAGCCCCATTCCAGACTGAATCAGAAACCCTGGGCATAGGATCTAGGAGTCTTTATTTCAACAAGCCCTTTATTTTAACAAGGCATTAGAAAACCCTCGTCACAAGGCAGATGGGTAGAATTTGAGGTGAATCTTGAATGATGGGTGATTAGCTAAAAGTGTTGCCTGGAAGCAATACGACAGTGACTGTATGGAGGCAGAAATGAGTCTAGCATGTGAGAGGAAAGCCCCAAACTGGACCCATCCAGTAAGCCGGCTCACAACTATGCTCACGAGGAATGAAAAGAATAAAAACAGTCGACCTTTGAGAATTATTTCCCTTCCAAAAAGTGCTGCTCCCAGTGGCACAGTCCAAGTTTCTGAACTCCAGCCCTCTGAGGATAAACCTGGGACAATAAATTGTCTTTCGGCATCTTCCCTGCACTCTTCAGAAGAGTTTCACCTGCGTGAGTACATGCCGTGCATTTGTTTCAAACACGTCAAAGCAAAGTAAGTGTCCTTTCATTTGGTTTGCTCGTCTTCAGTGCAAAATTTTGCTAATTCAATGTAGAAAAGAAAGAAAGATGAAAGTGAGCAGTTGGGTTATATTTATACGCACCATTCTGTGTGGCTAGTGTTCACTCCCCCCTCCCACTGTCTGTTTAAGGGGTTCTCTCTTTGGCGTCGCACATCTCAGGCAGCCAAGCGTGGTCATTAGTTTCCCTTTGTAACTTTCTTTAAGTTACCCTGTTTTCCTGAGAATATGAAGTTTTGTGAGTCAAGTATAAAACAATTAGCAAATTCATTATGATCGCGTTGTTTCATGAAAGTCAGATCGAGTAGCCTTTCTAGCGAAAGGAGTCAGCCTTTTATTTGAAGGTTAATGAAGGTGCCTGGGAGAAAAAAACGCACATTATAGTTGCAAACCGTTCACTCGAGAGTGGCAGAGCACCCTCTTGGGGAGTTATGTCAGGCAAGGCCAATTTCTGGCATGAATAGGAGGGAAGTTCTCTCATGCCAGAACTTCTGTCAGGTGTTCCAGGAATACCATGATGTCTAAACAAATGTCACAATGTTGTCTTTGATATATAGATAGATAGAGCCATCCTCAGACCAGTGGCCAAATAACGAGCAAATACTCTGCAAACTGTTGAACCAAAAAAAAGAAGGAAAGGAAGGAAGAAAGGAAGGGATTTCAAGTAATGTTTTCAAACTTCAGAATATATCAAAACTTCCTGGAGGGCTTGTTAAAATAAAAACTACCGGATCCTATATACAGAGATGCTTTTTTAAAAAATTGAGGTATAATTGACATTTAACATTAGTTTCAGGTGCAGAACATAATGATTTGATATTTGTAAATACTGTGAGATGATCACCACAGTGAGTCCAGTTAACATCCAACTCATTTTCTGTTCAGCCTCAACTGATACCCAGTCGATTGGCAGCTCGTTTCTCCAAGCCTTCCCTGGCTACTGCCCCTGCTGCTTCCCTTTCTGGGCACTGCCCCAGCTCAGGTGCTCCACGTCTCTCACCAGACTACTCAATAGCCCACCAGGCAGTATCTGCCTCCAGACTGCCCACTTCGTTGGCAATACCACCACGTGGCTCTTTTCCCTAATCAGGATTAACCCTGTTGACTTCTATGGGGGGGTGTGGGATTACTCTGAATCATCCACCCTGTGTCTCTTTCCTCAAGCCATTTTAAGATACCCAACAGCCACTCACCCTGAGGCATACGAAAGCAAATTCGGACTTGCATCATCCCAAACCACTGCCCATTCTACCTCTTACTGGAATTCTGACTCCTCACCCCCCATTCTCGTTTTACATTGCTGCCTTTGCTCTCTTTGGAACCAGCTTAACATTGATCTCCTTCCCCAAAACAGCTAAACTGGCTCCCCCCCCCCCCCTTCTCTGTGTCAGATTGTCACTAATCAAGCCCCAGCCATCTCCGAGAAACCTGAACCCTGGCTGGGTCCATCGGTTTGCTGCTATAGATCCCATTCTGACCAGGAAGATCCCAAATGCTGACGGTGCACATAAGGATATTTGCTACCTCGTCCCCATTCTACATCTAATAGGTGTGTTTCGTTTGACCACCATAGAAAGGGGAGTGGAACACAAGCAAACAGATTCCCCGTGAAAGTCTGGGTTGCCAGTGTCCCCTGACAATTCACTGGGCTGTAGGCAGCTGGGGACTCTCCTGCTGGCTGGTTCCCACCATGCTTCACTCACTCCTACTGTCTGCCTGGCCCTGTTGACATGTGACAGACCAGCAGCCCTGGAGACAGAAGATCTATTCACTCCACCCTCAGTAAATTTCCATTACTAAGCCACATTCAATTCTGAGTCTATTCTAGGTATAACCACATCCTACCCGAGGAACAAAACATCCTGCACAACTGGACCTCTGGGCCACCAACAGGAACGGCTGCAGGCAAGGCTGTGAGCACAGAGCACACACAGGCCGAAGCTGCTTTATCAACAAAGCAGCAAATCCAGCCCTGCCCCAGCCCCACCCCACCTCCGCCCCCATAAACTTTAAGCAGCCCTAAAAAACCTGTCCCTTACGAAACAGGGAAAATAGGGCCGTTAGCTCTCTATGGCTCTTGGCCCTCTTCC